CTGTCACTCTGGGAGTACAACTGCAAAGCTGCTGTCATTCTCCTAAATCTATTCAGATTTTTCATCTCAGCCACACTGGGGAAACTGAATTATCAAATAGAAAAATGGTATCTTTACACAATCTCATCCCTTATCACACACATTCCTCCTTTAAACTGGCCAATATTTCTGACTTAACCCTTTAAGCTCCCCAAGCTGAAAATATGTGCAGAATTCAATGCAAGTGTCATGCCACAACTTTGAAGCTAGTGACAAAAAACAACTGGCTCACAATTTGAAATTATATCTTTCCTGAAGTCAAGAAGCAAGGCAGACACAAGGGACTGTATAGATTAAATAACCCCTAAAATGCTAAGAAAAAATAGAGACATACAATCCACATCATCCCCAGCATAGAAATTGTATGGCATATCCTCGGTCTGTATCAAGCCTAACTCTATTATGCTCAAGTGAGCCACACAGTTTTATTCCAGACAACAATCAAGCCCATTGGATCTGATATTTCTTCTATCTGTAATATTTATCATCTCAGACAAAGATATAGCTCTCTGCCAAACAATCTTATGAGTCCCATTTTACATAACTCATGGCGTAAGTCCATTCAGCTTATGTCAGCATCACCACATTAATCACAGCCATGGGGGATTTGATTTTTGCCTAGCCTAGCTGTGGCAGTAAGAGGCTGAAACACGTAGTGGCACAGCCAGACCTACACCGCTGTGGCATCATGTGCACCTTGCCACCCTGGTAGCTTTCTAGAGCTGTTACTAATGGGTGACAGATCTTCAGAGCCGCTTTGAATTTTCATAACCATCCTTCTTACTTTGTGAGACAGAGCTGCCGTTGCCTGTTTGCTTTCCTTTGCTGGGTTCTCTTCCACCCAAGCCAAGGCAGTGCCTACAGACGGTGCAGAGATCCTGCTTCAGAGCTGTCAGAGCATCAGAAAAAGCCCCAATGCTCAGCACAAGGACCGCACCATCTGGCTGTGTCACTCGCCTCCAAGCACCTTCATTACCTTAATCTCTGACTCAGAGCAGCTTTGGAGAATAGGGGCCAGATCATCCCCAGCACTGATTGCAGGAGAAAACAGCAAGGGGTGAGATGCTGATCAAGGAGCAGATAACAGCCCTATAGCGCTATGCACACACAGATGGATACTCTCTGCTCCTCCTCACTGAAAAATAAAACTCTCTCTCCTTCTGGAGGAGAAAATCAGGATCAAGCCCTTGGTTATCACAGGAGTGAGAAGAAGCCCTCATTACTTTGAAGGGAAGGATTTAATCCCACTGCATATTACAAGACCCAAATGACATGCTTATCTTATGGCTCAGAAGGGAGCCCCAAAACCCAAAGGCATGGTGAAGACCCTGTCATCTTCCCCACTCCCTGTTTTGAAAATGCAGCTTTCCACAGCCTCCCTGTCTGATCCAAGTTCCTTTTCCTCTGTCAACATGACCAGAGTTCATCGAGAATGACTATGACAACAGACTTGTATAAGCTATATACTTTGGCCTCTGCCTGCCGTTAACCCCTGCCGGGATGGCTGACATCAGTCAGCTTTAGTTCTGCCTCAAAATAACATAAAAAAGAAACTGCAGCCTTGTAGCAGCTGTACAATAGAAGTTCTGTACAGCACTTGAACATCTCTAGTCCTTTTGTGACCTCTACCACCTTTTGTAGTCTTTCAAAAGCTGAAACAGGTTTTTAAACAAAACAAAACAAAAAAAATCCCTTTTGCATGAGGAAAATGAAAAGCAACTCCATTTTCTATGTTAAACAACAAAAAAAGAGTAACTGCCAGTGAGCAGGGAAATGCACACCCAATGGAAGTGGCAGAACAGCTCACCCACACTTTAATGGATGGGCACAAATATGCCGCTCCAGTAAAAAGAAGGAACAAATCCTGCTTGGGAGCATAAAGCAGAGTTGTTCTCCCGATTCATATTTTATGCTCACAGCTAGAGACAATATTACTGTCTGACAGCCTACTCAAATGTGCAGGATGTTTTCAGCTGCTGAGGACAAAGAACTTGCTGTGAGCACTTTCACAGTTACTGCAGATACGGCCAAACACACTGACCTCACATGGTGATTTCCTGGTATTTGATGTTCCCAGCCTTTGGCCAAACTAAACGCATTAAAAATGAGATTTGTCTCTTAAATGTTGTTCCCCCAAGTGAGCAGTGTGTGATGGTCTCGGAGGCCACCTGTATCTTGGACAAAGGATCACATGAACGCTTCTCTACGTCAGCAGCAAATCCCACAACTGTTGGACACCACCACAGACCACTTTCTTGGAGAATATCAGGCTTCAGCTGAGTATCATCTATCTAGGAAAGCCCCACAGATGCCTTGTCCAGTATTCAATCCTGATGTAACGGCTAAGAAACCAGGAAACTGTCTGGCTTGGTTTCCAGTTTGTATCACAAGACCATTGTATGCATGGGTGTGCAACTTCCAGCTTTGAGTCAAAACATACTGTTGCCCTCCCTCCCCAGCTCTAATAATGGACTTATAAAAGATGCTGTCCCATGCTGCCTCTGTTATTAAAGACTTTACAATGGATTATTCATCAAGCAATCTTTTTTCCCTCTTTTTACTCAATTATTAAAGTCCATGACTTACATGACTGCACTGCATGTTCTTTCAACACCACTTGTTACCCCTTTAGCCACTTCAATTAACCATTCTTTTGTGCTGATTCCTCTTCTCCAAATTACCTAGGAATTTTCTGCATGCCAGCATACTGAATGGTTTAGAGAAATTAAGGCAAGAAATCTGCTAGATGTAACTTTCGTTCAGAGAATCAGTCAAGTTAGGGAAGATACTGTGTTAGTCTAATACGACATACCTTTAGTAAACTCAAGTTTACAGGCAAGCTGCTCGCAACTGTCTGGGGCTGAGGCAAGTAAAACGAGAATCCCTTAGAGCCATCTTCTTATTAGGCAGTCCCTGAGAAATCTGGGATTTAGCTTTGAGTTCCTCAAGTCAAGTTATTCCAGTAGGTGTGCAAACCAGTCACAGATAGGAGAACCAACTACTACTTTGTTTGGACAATGTAAATAACATCAGTAGTTTGAGTGTAACCAGGCCATACTTGCAATGGTGTGATAGAAATTATTTTTAAAGAATGTATAAAGTATCAGTCATAATAAATCATACAGGAGTTTCTATACTAAGATTTAACCTTCAGTCTAACCTCCTACACAAAAAAAAAAAAAGGTAAATAATCCTCTTTAAGAAGTCTTTCATGTCAAATTACACACCCATCAGTACAAACACAGAGCTACTCAAAAAGGTAGACTCAGGTGTTCCTGGATTAAAGGCTGTCTGAAGCCTCAGCAAGCTCCCAGGTGCTTGGATTTGAGATGCTCCGAGATGCTCCCACAGGTCTCAGATTCCTGGCAGCAACTCCACACTTCTTATCCTCCTCTGGTCTCAAAGCAGCAACAAAGTCAGTTCATAGCATCTGGCCAGCACAACAGAACTGGAACCAGCACACAGCAAAGCTTCATCAAATTACTTAACTGGCCTCAATATAACTGTGGAGCTTTGCCATATAAGGTAAAAGTCAAGATTGGCAACGGTGGCCCCACTCCTTATGACAGTAACGGGCAACACTTGCTACTGTTTTATTTCTTGATTTCCAATTCTCTCCTTTTCAACTAGGTTTATACCCATTACATCCTGCATCCATAGCTGACCTGTTCAATTAGTTATACCCCACTGCCTGGGCTAAGAAATACTGACTTCTAATACATCATAGCTTTTAACCAGAAAACAAGATGCAAGAAATTCTGCTCCCTGATCTGTCAAGCTTAACTACTCTTACTAAGAAAAAAAGCCAAACAAACAAAACAAAACCCACAAACCTGCAGAAAGTGGAAAACCTGTAAAATTGGGAAAAAAGTTAGCTTATGGGACATAAGCAAGCTGCGTCTCCCCAAAGTTTTAGAAGTGTGGATATAAGGGGAAAAGCATGGGGATACATGCTTTCTATGTGACCCACAATTTTATTCATAGGGTTTCCCTCCCTTACCATATACAGTCAACAGATGATACTTCTCAGCTATAAAAATGGAAGTCTCTCACAGGGACTTTAAATGTTTGTCTCAAAATATCAGCATCTTCTATATTATCCATATGTATTTGGAAAGTTATCCTATTTCCATAATGTTACAATAGGAAAAGAATGGTCAGGATGTTCTTAAGATATAAAGAACATGAGACACAATCTTGCACGAAGTCCCTTTCATCCCTACAAGTCTAAGACATTCTAATTCCATTGCTGTACTTTTACCATCTTCAATTAGCATTTAACAGAACAGACATGCACAACTTTGTCTTTTTTATTTCTATTGCTCCATGCCAGGATGCCAGCAGAAAGCGTGGAGAAATTGTTCTAACATGGAGAAAGCAAGAGTGTCTCTATTCAAGAGTCAATGAAGACTAGAAGCAAAGTAAGATAAACTTGAAAGCTCTAACAGAATATTAAGTGCAATTCCACAGGTGCTCCAAGTTGCTCTCTCCACCAGCTTTGTATCAGGGATCAATTCCTTACACACACACTCACAACAACCACCCCCCCAAAAAAAACCCTCAAACCCACAAAGACAAAAAACCAAACCACACAACAAAAAAAAAAAAACAAAAAAAGAAAAATTCTACTTAAATAAAGAATTCAGTATTGAGCCTGAAAAAAAACCAGAAAACCACAAACAAGTCTTCAAATAAAAGTCTTATAATACCAATCTTTATTCAAGACAGACTGAAAAGAAATACTTACTAGTACTTCATTTACTTACCCTGAAAACAGAACTCAAAAATATCCTACTTAGTATTAACCACTTTAAAATGAGCTGATGAGCTCCAGCTTATTTCAAGTACATATAAATTTGAAGGCAACAGAAAATGTATTTATCATTTTTATGTGTGTGTATCTATACACAAACATATATTATATATATAAATCATGTATATACATACATATTTTGCTGCCACCTTGTGAACAGTCTCTGAATAAGGAGGTTTAGTTCATACAGGCCCAATTCTGCCATTTTCATTCACATTTACCTCAAGTGACTTTAATATAGACACTTTTTGAACAGGTACTCAATGTGACAAAGAATGGCTGAATCAGACACTTAGTGAAGAAAACTTTAAAAGGCTGAATAAAATAATTACTAGTCTTGTGCAATTTCCGTACACTTTTGTGTCACAGTTTATTGCCACAAACATTATGGAAAATATCACTAAATTCTTTCTGATAAAAATATTGCAGCTTTGCATCCAAGTTGTATAGCTGTCTTCAAAACTGAATAAGCTGGTGCCTGTAAAACAAAGAATAAAAGATTAAATACATCTAATGAAGTATTTTGTTTGAACCAGATTGTGGTAAGGAGTAGTAAGCATTATCTAATAAAATAAAAACAAAAAAACCCCAAAACAAAGCGAACCACAGAAACAAGAAAACCCAAACCACCAAAGCACACCTGCATTCATAGTCTAATCTACCTTACAGAAAACTAAATTAAAAACTATCAACCCTGTGGAACGTTCCCACAAATGTAAGACAAGTGAAAAAAGAGGAGAGAAGTCACACTTTCCTCATATGGTATTCAAGGGAGCACAGAATTTAGTTCAGTATTTCACACTTCCTAACATGGTTGTGTTTGCCTACCAAGATGATGCCTCAAGTTGTCAGCTGTATGGATAGCACTTATTAGCCTTATCTTCAAAAATGTTTAATCTAAACTTAAAATAAAATTAAAAACTGCTCAGAGGACACCTCTCAGGAAGACACAATCACTTTAACACTTGAAATGAGCTCCAACAGATTCAATTCTGTTCTAGAAAAATGAAAGCTATAATATGCAGTGTTTTCCTACATTTATCATTGGGAAAGAATATCAAGCACCTTATTTTCTATTTCTCAAATAAAGAACTACATCATGGTCACTGGATAAGGAAAATAAGAATATCACATCTACATCCTCACTAATGGTGCCAACTAGTTAACATTGTACTTACTGCTTCTGCATCATGCTCAAGCCCAATGTCATGGTGCTCCCGTTCATCATCTCGAAATTGCTTTATTATCTTTAAAAACAGCAGTTAATTAGCAAGTCTACTTGGCAAAGAAATCAAGGCAGCTAGTATACAAAACTATATGCTGTTGACCATTGCATGCACCAGGACAGGCATCTGAGGCCCAGGTCTCTCAAAACCTTCTCAAAGACCTGAATTTGCAATTCAGCAAGAAGGGAATTATTTACAGCATTCCCCAAACATAAAGTTCTTCTAATATTCTCAGAAAAAAAAGTCTTTAAAAACTAAGCTGCTGGTTAACATATCACTGTGTTTTTAACTGTTTCAAGAAAATCTATAGTCATAGTAACTCATAGCACTAATTAGTTTCACACATACAAATTATTCTGACAATTTAAATAATGAGATTAAGGTCCCTGCCTTGCCAGATAATCAGTAAGGGTGTTTCCCTGTAAGCCAACAGGGCTTTTGTCCATTCTAGTGTACTCTAAAGAACACTATTTTTCTCTTCTAATTTTTCAACTGGGACAAAAAGGTTTAAAGATTTTTCTCTTGAGATATTTGCAGATAACTAGGATTGCTTAATAGAGTGCTCAGAGTTTACAGACAGCCAAGCATTGTCCCTATGCAATAGGTTCACATTGCTTTTGGTTTCATTGCTAGTCCTCCTCATATTGACACTGTAAATAACCTTGCTGCTTAGCTTTTTCTCTTCATTTTGTGCCCTCTCAGTTTATAGTCTTTATTTGCAGGGGTAGTATTTCCCTTGTGCACCTCAGCACAACCTGGGTTACTTCAGATACAATTTCTGCAACAAGAAGACACATTTGGAGTAACCAGACTTGGCTACATGTTAAACTAAGCACAACTGAACATAGTCAGCAGAGATACAAACGAACATGGGGACCCTAAAGCAAGCTCCCACCAAACAGCACACAAACGAGCTCAATGTGCTGTTTGCGGAAACAGGTCAGTCTCTGACAAGCACCCTACAGGAATGTGTCCCAGTTTGATGCCTAAAATACCTGGGAAATAATTTTCTTGCAGAGCTAACAAACATTAGCTCCTTACACGCTCTGAACAGTATTCAAGACTAGAACTATATAATCATATCCCGTATAAGCAAAATGTTACTACACTTATCTTCTCCTTTTGTTTCCCCTCTAAAGCCTTCCTTTCAATTAAAAGTAATCAAAATTAAAGCATAGTTCTCTCAATCAAAAGGGAAATGCTGAATTACTGAAAGCATGCTGAAGCTAATCCAACATACATTTTAAATTTTGGTGCTTGATCAATTCAGTGCTGCTGAAGGAAAAAACATCCTTTTAACTTAAAGTTTCTGTTGACTTGAACATTCTAAGTGATAGAACAAAAAAGAACTACTGTAAGTTCTATGAGCATATTATTTTAAAAGACTAAAGTCACATTAGATAATTCAATGAATTGGTTAAACTACTTTTAGAGTCATACTTAAATACCTGCAGTAGTTCTTTGTACTTTTCTGGATCTTCTTCCATAAGAGTTCGGATCTGGCTATTGTAGTGATCCGATATACTCTCTTCCACTGCCACTGTGCAAGCCATTGCACCTTTCTTTCCAAGTAAAGCACTTCCAGCCCCTGTGATTGTGGTACCAAGCATATGCAAACAATGAAATCTGAAGCAATACAAGTAATTTACACATTTAAAGGCTTCATAAAATAACAATAACAGTAATAACACAAACTCACCTAAAACAAAACCTGCTACATTCCAAAAAGGCAATAAAACAGTAGGACGAACTCTGTATGCAACCATTAGTTCATTGAACTTTTTCAGGTGGTCTTTTTCTTGATTCCACATTTGCTGCAAAAGAGCCAGATCACAGTAAAATACAAAACCAGAAAAATTAAAGATTTCCAGTAAAACTAATAAACCAAAAAAAACCCAAACAGCTTAGGCCCCTCACACTTTAACCGCAGAGGTAACGCTATTCACATCACAGAAAGGAAAAGGTGACAAAGGGCAGATGAGGATAGTTATAAACAGGCAACATAAAAACATTCGCAAAATAGGAGTCTCTATGACAATACCGCAGCAACTGTAGTATTGGTAACTCCCTTATCAAGTAATCCCGCTACTCTTTATAAACCCACGTGTTTAGAAAAAGACGTACAGCTGTCACCTTACAACTTCATGCGACCACTGTTAACCAAACGCACGTTAACCGGAAACACAGCGATGGCTTTTAGGTCCACTAACCTGGATAATCGGTCCCACACTCGATCTACCCAGGACGGCCATCTGCCCCGCATAAATGCGGTTTGCCCCGTACTCCCCCGCATGGTCCACCCGGATGATGCGGTCTATGACGGGCTTGTTGATGCCCTCCAGACTCACCCGCGTGCTGCAGAGCCTGAGGGAAACCCCTCCGGCGGGCAAAGGCCATCTCCCCCGGAGACCTGCCGGAGAGACAAAGGTGACGCGAGCTCTGCCGCCGCCCAGCCCCCGGCCGAGGCGG